TTTAAAAATTAACAGAATATTATATAAATACATTTATTAGTTTTATATAAATATTTAATACTATTTTAATTTTCGCATAATTCCTTTGGAATTACTTTTATGCTTTGATATCCAATTTTTCTCCAGAGACATCAAAATACTCATAATTGTACCAAATCTTTAAAATATCTAAAATCATAGCATTGGACTTATTTAATTAAAAACACAATATTGATCTGTTACTTAAAAATACTTGATTAATATTCATTCAAACTTAATTACCGAGTGAGTCATTTACTACTTTTAATTTTAACACAGTATAGACTTCAATAAGAAGTTAATTACTTATTAAACAACATTGAATTTATTGTATTAAATTGAATTGTTTTGTATTAAACACTTGTTTTGGATACACTGTTAATTAAACGTAGCCTTATATAATCAATTCTTTATTATTAACTATCTTATTAAAATTATTAAAACAAATTGATTTGACATTTATTTCAAAACGTGTGAATCAATCAAAGATTCATCAAACGCTAAACAATTATCCAGTGATTGTCTCGATAGTAAAACCCACACATCTATTGTTTGATACAATAATAGTTAAACTTTCTTCATCCCTATCACACATTTTTAATTTGTTGTTATAACACCACTTATTACATTACTTTATAAATATGACTTATCGAAGCACATATCGATATATTCTATTTAATAATCTTTAAATAACTAACTATTATAATAAGAATGTTACAATATAATAAGAATTCTTTATTAGAGTAAATATTGATATCATAGTCACAATGATGTTGAAACATTAATCTTCGTTTTATTTTTAGTTAAATACTGTATTCATAAAAGCATTCTTTATTTTAATTATAAATTACAATAAATTTAAACTCGTAAATATAAGTATTATTTATTAAATAATGGATTTAGTTTTTTAATATACGCTTAAATTTTCTAATAAAATTTTTTTAAACAACTTCAAAAGAAAGTGTCAAAACCTTATATGTTATAAAAATAATAGGTCTCCACACGACACAGAATATTGACTTTACAATATTAAAATGAATCAATTATTCACGAATTTAATTCATACTTTTTACTATAAACCCTAATAGATTGTTGTATAAGCGAGCGTATGATTGAAACAAAGTATACAATGAAACGAATAATTGATTGATTGTTACATTTATGTGAGAACTTTATAACAATTGAAATACCAAAAAGTCGTTAGAGTTTTGATACCTACGGGCGGACACAAATCAACAGATAATATGCCAGAAGTGGAGACATTTGACGACAAGACAACGGCTGTCCTAAAGAGGAAGGGGTATAAGATACTGGAGAGCCTAAGTGCCGGTGCCTTCGGACAGGTATACAAAGCGACGCACACGACGGACAACTCGGTGGTGGCCGTGAAAGTGATGAATCTCAGCAAATGCAGCGACAAATTCAAAGAGAAATTCCTGCCGCGAGAGATGGCCGCCATGATTGAGGTGAACCACGAGAACATCATTCAAGTCCGAGACATCTTCCGCTCCAACAAACGGATCTTCATATTCATGGAGTTCGCAGGAAATGGAGATATCAGTCACTACTTGAAGAAAAACGGTGCCCTCAGCGAAGAGAAGGCATACGTGTGGTTCAGTCAAGTAACAGATGGACTCAACTATTTGCACACCGAAGTCCATATGGCGAACCGGGACATCAAGATTGACAACATTCTGCTCAACGACCAGAATGTGGCCAAACTGTCGGACTTTGGCTTCGCGAAGGAAGCCTACGATCAGGAGACCAATCAAGTGATACTCAGCGAAACCTTCTGCGGCACTGAACCCTACTATAGCCCACAAATCGTCAGAAAAGAGAAATACGACCCCTTTATGGCCGACTGCTGGGCCATGGGAGTGGTGCTCTTCGCGATGTAAGGCTAATATTATTTAATTAATCCATGGATTAGCTATAATCCATATAAGCTATGATCATATTTTAAACTCTTGTACTTTTGTATCGCACAACCATTAGGTTGAACAACAAGTTTCCGTTTCATTTCGGCAAAAAGATTGGACCCAAAGGTATGCTTAAAGAACAGTTGGATCCCAACCATCTCATCAACAGATATGTCAAAGAGTTCAGCAGACATGTCAAGCAACTCATTGAACGTCTATTAGATCCAGAAGAGAAGACACGCATCTCATTGCAAGACGTGATGAAACATAAGTGGTTTAAAGAGAAGGGAAAATGTAATTGTAAATGATTTCATCACTTCATCACATCCATTAGTTCCCATTCATTGCCACCATTGCCATCAATCAATCCATTCAATGAGACATTTATTAAAAGCAAATCTATTTTTATAAGCATTGCTTACTATTATAATCTCAATAAAATGTTTTAAATATAAATAATAATAATTCTTAACAAATTTATTTGAAATACATGTACAGTATGTTATAAGATTTACCTTTACTTTGTTAAAATAACTAAAACTAGATCCAATCAGTTACACATGTCATCATCTTATAAATGACACTAAATATACTGAAGTAGAAGTGATAACAATGTAATGAATAATCAAAAACACACCCATTTGACTGTGATAATAGTCTCCCTCACAGAAGCATTTGATAATAATCATTTATAAAAAAAATATCAAAACTAACTTATCTTGTAAACTTGTTTAAACTTAAAACATTAATGATTTTGTAAGTATATCAAAATATTATTATAGAGTTAAAACATTTGTGTATTATATTGAAATCACATGTATTATAATATAGTGTTATAAAAATATTTAATGAATGAATTTATTTATTAAGTAAAGTCGGCTTTATTGATATTTAATTGTTTTATATAGGATATAAAATATTATAAAACACAATTAAGCTTATATTTAGTTGTTCTATCAAATCATAGCAGTTATAAAATTGATTTTAGTGAAACTATAAAACATTTCTCACATTTCTAAAAACATTAGTTTGTTTCAAAGAAAGCATTAAGAAAATTATTTGTAGTTTGAATTTGAAGACTAAAAATAATAAAAAGTGATAATTTGACAAATATTTGAAACAATGATTGCAGAGAATAATGAAAGCGAAACTGTTGTCAATTCTCCAAATCCTTTTGTTTCTCCCAAAGCATCCAAACCTCCGAATCTGACCCTAAATTCCACGACTCCTATCAATCACACCATTCATATGCCTCCCGCCAGATCTCCGACATCACTCGCTTCTCCAATTTCCTTAACGTCATTCCCGCGAAGACTTTCCTCTATATTTCCGGCTTATATTCGACGAAAATCTAATCGAAAAGATTCAATCTTTGCTTCGGAATCGACAACAAATTTATACCCCTTTTATAATGAGGACAAACTGCCCACTCTTTATGGATACAAAGATTCTAATATTAATTCGGATGACACAGAATCCGCATTCAAATTTGGTTGGATTAATGGAGTTTATGTAAGTTTTTAAAATATTCTATTGTTTTTATATTTCTCAATTATAATTCTTTCATAGAATATATTCATGAAATATATGTATTAAATGCAAAAACAAAGTATATAAATAAAATTATTATTAGTAAAGTAATGAATTATTAATTCTTTGAACAAATTAGGTGCGAACCGTTTTAAATATTTGGGGAGTAATGTTGTTTCTTAGGTAATCAATCATTTAATTGAAAATATTGTTAAGTAAAACAATTCAATTTGATTTCTCAATTTAAAGGATGGGTTGGATGACAGGTCGATAAGAATTTCATAAAATTTTTGTCAATTCAATTTTAAATCAAAGATAGTTTTCTTTAAAGAGTTATTACATTAATATTATTATAGTTATAAACTATATTTGTGCTTACAATTTAGTGATTTAACAGAATTTTACAGATTTTATTAAAGTTGAACTGAAATTGCCCTTAAAAACTATAAGAACTATAAAACTTAAAGTTTGCATAGTAATAATAATTCAATTCGATAAGTTTATAATTTACACAATTTATAGTTTATAGTTTATACAATTAATAAAACGGTATTAGATCATAAATAATTATTCATATAGTAACTTTAAATTATATGCATAGGATTTTAATAATTTTCTCAAATTAATTGAATTGACAAAAATATAAAAAAAACCAATGAATGTCTTAATTAACCCGATTTATCACATTTTGAACACTTAAGGACACGCCGGCATCGGTTCGTATAAACTTTGTCCTTATCTTTATTGTCATTCATAATACCGTAAACTAAATATTTCGACATTTTATTAATATTTCATAATTCATGAATGAAAATTAATTTATGACTATATATAATATTTATACAAGTGTATCTATAAAAATTTAATAAGACGCAAACTAAGTAACTTGTGCACAATAATCATTAATTACCAAATCTACGAGTTATTAATTCCCACCCATTTTAAATAGAAAAACATTTCATAAATAGTTATTAAGTAAAGCGATTATTTACAAAATTTCTATATAACATATAACTAACTCTATTATATTTTAATAATATAAATTTATTTTTTACTAGTATACTTAATATATTCAAAAAAATTAATATAATTTGTCATATTAATTTATAGCCTTTTAACATTTGCTTAAAATCTATTATAATAAAACTTTATATTATTATATTAACATATGCAAAATAACCATATTTTATTAAAATTATTTAAAGAGTGTTAGGGAGCACAATTAGTAGGAGCTATTATGGATTATTATCATAGAATATTGATTCTTATAAAGATTTCACCTTCTATTTAAATATTATATTTCAAATGGTCTATTATTACTATGTAAAATTAATATAATATTTTAATAACTTATGTAGCGCTAAGTATTGTGATAGTATTGGTATCTACCTTGGTCACTTTATGTTCAGCCATTTCAATGTCTGCCATTTGTACAAATGGAGAAATAGGAACCGGTAAAATTAAATGCTTAAACCTGTTGTACTGTTTTATAAAGAACTATGAAAACTTGGAAATTTAGGCGGAATTTATTATATGATAAGCAGGAGTTTGGGTGCAGAAGCGGGTTCTATGATCGGTAGACAACCATTTATAAGACAATTGCTGTCATACTTCTCACACAGAAATTCATTTTAGGCATAATATTCTCGTTCGCAAACGCAGTGCTCGTTTCGGCCAATTTGATCGGTGCCGCAGAAACGGCTGTCGAGATTATGGGAGTAAGTTACAAGTCATAGTAAACTAACTTGTAAGCATGTACGTTTTTCAATTCTTAAGTTATTATTATTATAGGCAAATGATATCATGCTTACGAATAGTGTTATAAACGATACGAGACTTATTGGCGCACTTTTGTTGATTCTCATTGCTATCATCCCTTTAATAGGGATGAGTTGGGAGGCTCGGGTCAGTATTACCCTTATACTGTACTGTACTACTGTACTGTACATTATTATAAATTTTTATAAATATTCTTAATGAATAGAATTTTTAAACTCTAGGCTATGCTGTTATTAATGGTTCTCTTGTTTGCATCACTTGTCAACTATTTTGGTTTTTAATTATTTATCATTTGTTTATAATTAAATTTTTCAAATTCAATCAAAACTTTTAGATTTTGTTGGTGAATTTTTTAATTGAATATTTACAAATCTATTGAATACAGTGAAAATAGTGAAGACTTTGAAGTTAAGCAACTCTATAGCATTTTCATATAAACAAAATCTATACTTTTTCACTGTATATTCATTTTAATTTAATGAAAATTTAAAGACTCTGTTTCTTATGAGATCTTTAATTATGTTTAAAGTATTTAAATGAAGTATTTAAAGATTAGTCAATCTTTTTCTATGTGAGTCCTATAGATATAATCGCAGCACAAATTTAGGAAATGACTAAATATTAAGATTAGATATACTGTACTAGTATATTAAGTTTTACTTTTATTTAAAAGTTCATTGGGTTTTAAAAGTTGATCAAGTATATCGTTAACAAAATCATGTATTGAAATCTAATTGATATCCCAATAGTTGGCACATTTATTCCTCCTTCGGAAGAGAAGATATCAAAGGGTTTTGTCGGATGGAGTGGTTGTTAACTATAATCTCTTACCAATTAAAACATTGTCACTAATTATAGTTTATTTATAGTAACGGTGGCTGAAAAGAACATATACCCCAATTGGGGAGATGTGGGCTTTTTTGATGTATTCGGAGTATTCTTTCCATCCGTGATTGGAATTTTTGCGGGAGCAAGGTTAGATCTGTCTATACAGTATTATAAATATATTCATGATTTATTTTTATTGTCAAATATAATATATAGTATGAGCGGAGATTTAAAAGACCCAAACGCAGCCATTCCTAAAGGTATATAAATTATTATTTTATTCAATGATTGTTTTAAAACTTAATTTTTATTTTAGGAACATTTTTAGCAATTATTACCACATCTTCAGTATATTTGGTGCTTATCGTATGCCTGGGATTTACAGTATATCCATACGCTTCTGGAGATTTATCTGATCAAAATTTTGCTCATCATTTGATGTGTGAAGCTAATAACTCCTGTCATTTTGGTCTAATCCCTGATTACCAGGTCATTTAAATAACCAATTATTTTAAAAAACTAAACAAATATTATATTTTCAAGACAATGACTCTATCGAGTGGTTACGGGCCATTGGTTTGGATCGGCATATTTGCTGCCACTTTGAGCTCAGCTCTGGGCTCTTACGTATGCGCTCCCAGAATATTCCAGGTCTTATACTTTAGCTAAAAGTTAGTGTAAATCGGTTATAGAAATTACTTACAATCTGTTCATAGGCCTTATGTGAGGATAACTTATTTCCTTATATCAAATATTTCGCCAAAGGATACGGAAAGATAAATGACCCGCGAAGGGGGTATATTCTCACCTTTGTCATCGCACTAGCATTTATAGCCATAGGTTTGAATCAATTACTAAATTTAGATCAATATTACTAAATATGTTTTAAATAACGCCTATCTATGACAGGAGAGCTGAACACAATAGCGCCCATTATCTCCAACTTCTTTATGGCCTCTTTCTTCTTAGTAAATATCGCTTCATTTCACGCGTCGTTCGTCGGTTCGCCCAGTTTTAGGCCCACATTCAAGTATTATAACCAATGGGTTAGCCTTTTAGCAGCAGTTTTCTGCATTGTTATCATGTTTCTGTTGGATTATATAACCGCTATCGTAACTGTTGTTATAATGGGAGTTATCTATTTATGGATGATGAAGAAAGGACCAGGTACTGTATACTACTGTAATCTTATTTTATATATTTTCAATTAAAATGTTTATAAATGTGTGATTACAGACGTGAATTGGGGGACATCCAAAAGGGCTCACATATACAACTCTGCTCTAACCGCTGCCCTTAAACTCAATAGTATTGGAGATCACGTCAAGAATTTTAGACCTTCTATACTTTTAATGACTGGTAATCCAAGCGCCAGAATACCACTCGTAGAGTTTGCCAACAATATAACAAAACATAAGAGTTTACTACTTATTGCACATATTGTTAACGATCCAATCAATCATAAAATAAGAGAAAAGGTGATATCGAGTCAATACGATTGGATGACTAAGCGAAGAATCAAAGGATTTTATTTGCTTTTGGAATCCAATTCATTAAAGAATGGCGTGAATTGTATGGTTCAGGTAATGGCAGATAATATTATTATATCAAACATTTATTCATTAAAATTAAATACTATTTTATTCAATTTCTAAAGATCGCAGGTCTCGGTCGCAAACTAAAGCCAAACATTTTAATGCTCGGTATAGTACAGCACTAACATAAAAAATAAGTTGACAACAATTGTTTGAATTATAGGTTACAAAAGCAGTTGGAGAGACTGTCTTCCAAACGATTTGATTGACTACTACAGCGTTATTCTGTATGATATATGACATGATTTTGAAATTAAATTTAGAAAGACATTTTAAATATAAAACAGATTTGCGTTAGAAAATGAGTTATCGGTTATGATTCTGAGAATACAAGAGGGATTAGATTATGCAGACTTCTTTGAATCCGGTAATAATGCCTATTATTATATACATTGGACTCGTTGTGAAATTATTTGTTACTTATTTAGATGCCGTTAAAACAAATAAACACATTTTGCCCACAATTAGCGAACCAAACGATAGTTTGGAAATAGAAAATGGAATGACAGCTAACATAGCAGTCAATGTTGAAAATATGGATAAAAGGAAGCACATGGATGCCATTAAAGGTGGATTACAAAATCATTTATAGTAAGAATATATTAGATTCATATAAATTATCTTAAACTTTAAGGGTTAATACCAAACGATGCGATTGAAGCCATGAATCAATTTAATGAGAAGCAAAGGCGGGGAACCATTGATATCTGGTTGTTGGCCGACGATGGAGGACTCACTATTATGGTTCCCTATCTTCTTAGTTGTAAAGATATTTGGAGGGACTGTAGTCTTAGGATTCTTACATTAGCCGCAAACGGAGAGGAAATTACTGAGACTAAAGACAAGTATAACTATTTCACACAACTTTTATTAAATAAGAGAGAGAGAGAGAGAGAGATTTGTAAAAGGATATATCCTTTTTCCGTTGTACACTTCCTTTTTTATAATTAGAAAACAGTACTAAATGATTAAATGCAAATAATTGATAATAATTGTATATAAATGTAGTTTGAGTCAATTGATGTCAAAACTGCGAATCCCATTCTCGGACATAAAAGGTAAGAATACAGAAATCTTTTTACAGATTACAGTTCTCGGTAAATATTATAGTGTTCATTTTATCATTAGCTTAATTAGATTTTATATATATTTCCTCTAATTTTTTTAGTGTTCTCGGAAGCAGATTTAGACATAAATGATTCAAGGTATGATAATGTGTTCACATTTTCAACCTAACTAATATATATGTTAAATAATAGCAAAAGTAAATTCGATTCAATAATCACAAAATTTGTGATCAAAACTGAAACCAAAGCTTTGAATCAAATATCGCTGACAAGAGAAGAACTTTTCAAATATAGGGAAATGGTTTGTATTAACGCTTTTGTGTTCAACTTAAACAATAATTTTATTACATTTATTAGACTAATAGATATTTAAAGTTAAGACAACTTTTAATACAAAACTCATCCAACACTACATTAATAGTTATGTAAGTCTTAACTCATAAGTGAGAGGCAAACCATTTGCTGATTTCTTTAAACTCATTTGTCAGGACTCTGCCGATGGCTAACAAACACATACCGATCCCATTGTACATGAGTTGGTTGGAAGTGCTGACAGATTTGACTGAAACTGAGACAGATCACTTCTACCGGATGCCACCATTCCTTATGCTGCGAGGGTTTGGTCAACGAGTGATCACTATTTAAGACAAAAATGGCAAACCTTTGCTTTTAATTGAAATATAAATTTATTTGTATTCATTAATTAAATGTTAATAAATTTTCAAACATCATATAAAACTACAAATCTGTTCATAATAATGGACTCAATTGAATGGCAAACACAGAATATTCTGTACTATTAATGACTTATAATTTCGTATAAATTATTTGCAATTATATCACAAAATGTATCAAAAATAATGACTAAATATTAGTATTAAGACAAGAGTTATGTTGAGATCATTGGATGGATTGGACACTCATTTGATCAGATGGTGACTCGAGTCGTACAGTGAGACCTCTTCGTCGTCGGAATCGTTGAGAACGAACGCATTCTTCGGGAGCGACTCATTGATGGCAGTCGTGGGCAATGAGTCATAATTGAGACACTCTTTCGATGTCTTCATTCGTTTGCATCGTTTGCCCGAACAATACACCCGAAGAATGCAAACCAATGACACCGACATCGATATGACCATAACCTGTGGCAAAGAGTGACCCATTCATTGAATGCATACATGAGTGATGGTGTGGAGGAATATATACCACAAACAGAGATCTCATAACAAATCCATTAGTCATTTGGATTCTGTGGACATACGGCTTGTCTTTCATGGTGTGCGATGTGTTGGAAGTACTGGAAGTGCTGTTCCCATCATCAGAGGCTATCGTATCACAGAAACAGTTGTTGTCAATGAGTGCTATGACTACTGCTATCAAACATAACTTCAATAGTTTTGAGACAAACATTATTTTCATTGGATTTACAAATCAATGAATTAATGAAATAAAAGTCAAAACAAAATCGTAAGTCAATTGAAAGTAAAATCAATGCATTCATGCAATCAATGATGTCTTCATTAGTGTTAATCAATTGATCGTTAATTTGTTTTTTATGGCATTTTTTGATCTCATTTTCATTACAAATGAGAACACGTTTTGAATGATTGTATTGTGAGAGACGTTATTTAGTCTTGTGATGCATTCACAGTACAGTCCATTCGCTCTAATGATTACAGTTTGCTAATCACATCAACTCAAGTGACCATCAATTGCAACTCATTCTCAAATGCATTCAAATTTATAAATTGTATGATTCTAATCCAGTCTCATCAATATGCTCTCACCTTGCTACTTTTATTACTTTTACATGTTCTAAGCAGTCATGCACCGCATATGTTCTTGGTCATAATTTAACTTTATGTGGAAGTTGAGCAAGGTATTAGAGAAAACTTTATTCGAAATTGATTTCATTTAATTTCATTATAAAAAGTTTAATACAAATTAGTGATCAAAGAATTATTGATTCAACTTAAGAGTAAGCCATTGAAATGCATGCATACACTCTATAAACTCGAGTCTATAAACTTTAGCAAACATTTACAAGTGTCATGCACATTTTTAATTTAAGAATTATCATAAATTGTTATTTAAATACAATAAGACTTGCATGAATTATATGGACAGTAATAATAATGAGAGTTATAGTAATTATATGATAGCATTGACATATGATAGGGAACACGTAGAATCATGTTATGTGGTTTTGCAAGCAAACTGTACATTAAAGTATTTCACTAAATACTATATAGCAATCAATGTGTTCATATTATAGTATTAAGTGAAATAGTTGAGTTTACAGTTTGCTTGCATAGCCACATAACATGATTCAACGTATTCCCTATCATATACTGTATATACTTTATAAAAATGGGAATACATTGGGAATTGCATTCATATGTTATGAAGTGGTTGTAGTGTAGAGAGAGGTTAGACTGTAAATGAGGTAATAATACATACGTTTTGTTTCAGTGAATAGACTTTCGATTGATTTGTCATTCAATTTGTGGTA